GGAGTTCATGCAAGAATAGGAGCCATTCAGAGAAAACACAGGAGGCAGATCAAAGCTAGAGAAGGAAAACCAGAGGGATGTGAGGTCCCAGATGTCAACTCAGTAGAGTGTGGCTGGGGGAGTAATCAAGACAGCAGAGAGGTCCCAAAAGCCTATTGTATGAGGCAGTTAGATGGTCACTGGGGACCGTGGCGAGAGCAGTATCCATAGAGGGGTAGGGTGAGAACGGAGGTAGAGGCTGCAGATGTGGACCCTGTGAGGCTAACACTGTGCTTAGCCATGGCCCTGAAACTTCCCTTTATGAGAGAGAGCACCCTGACATCAGCTTGCTCTTTAGTCAGTTATCTCTGTCCAGGAAGGTGAAAGGAAGCATGCTCAGAGAATGCAATATGCCTTGACAATATAAGGAGACTGCCTACTTAAAGAGTCAGTGAATAAATTGAAGACCTTCTCCAAAGTCTTCAGAAAGTCCTCATTCTTACCGTTGCTGACATCATGGTTTGATTTGTCAGCAAGGCACAGACTCAGCTTGCTGTGCACTGACATGGGCATTCCAGCTCCTTGCTAGCACGCAGGTGATGCTGTGGCACTGGGCTCACACCTGTCTTCCCACACTGCATCGCCCTGCAGATTTACTCATGTGTGGCTTGTCTTCAGGACCAATACTTAGTTCTAATGAAAATTTTAAGATTTTGAGAACAGCTTCACATTAAATGTTCATTAGAGTCCAGTCTTATTTAACAGGCGGTTGCATCCTTCAATAATTTGATGTCTCCTTCTCCAACCTACTTTTCACTCCCTGCAGGACTTCAGCTTTCAGTCCGCTCATTTCCTTGATGCCCCTACACTTGCTTCCCATTGAACTGAAACAGAACCCTTTGCGCATCCTTTTTGTCTCCTCCACCTGCCACCTGTGGCTTTACTTCCTTCCCTATCTAATGCAGGCCCCATGGTTCATTACTTTAACTCTCTTTCCATCTTGCCATTCTGACTTACCTACCTAGTGAAGCCCCTCACCCTGGCTCAGGCCGCAGCCATGCAGACTGATGCTGCCATTCCACATCCACAGTCTGCAGTCTCTAGCCGCTGCTGAGCGTAGAGTGCTACCAACGAGTCCTCATTATATATCCCTCTGCAGCTTGTAAAGTATCTCTATTTTCCTAACCCACTCGTCTGTACATGTTATGTGGTCAGTAAGTGTCGACGGATTCTGAATCTAAGCATAAAGCAAACTTTTAAAGGCAGTGTGTTCAAGTTTTAAGGGACATTCACAGTTTGATTTATAACATATACTAAAAACCTTTTATTGTCACTTTAAATGGATTATCTCTATAAAGCTATTTTTTACAAAAGGAAATACTCAAATCTAGAATTGAAAAAAAAGAAAAGAAAAGGAAGTTGGAGAGCCCAGGGAATTTCTAGGCAGGCTGGATTACCAGGCTCTGAGCCTGAAACATCCAGAGTCCTAGGCAGGTATGTTCTTCTAGCCACTAGTGAAACCACCATTAGCTGTCCTCTCTGGGCACCAGACACCCCAGCTCACACTGCCAGCTGACCTGGATTCTGAACATTGCCCCTGAAGGTGCTGCCATCATTTTCTATGGAAATTATGTAGAAATGCCACCAGACACGTCTGAATGTATTTTGTCCCCATCCCTGCTTCTTTGCCTCACCAGTTTCCAAGTTAAAGAATGGAATGGGTGCTTCTGATAGGCAGAGCCCAAGTCATACACCAACACTCTAGCTGCAAGGGAGGCTGGAAAAGTATTTTGTATTTTCAGCATGTATAATAGGAGAGGGCTATGCCTCATTAGCTGGGAATCCCTCAAGCATAGAAAGGGATTTTAGATTACCCCTTTGTTTTCATTTTATATTAGGACTACAACCCAAATTCTGGTAAGACTTAGTTTGATTTCTAAGCAAGCTCATTTGAGATACTAAAAAGATGAAGATTATAGGTTTGATTTCCATTACTGGTTTTATGATGTTACCTCTCTTCTATAACCATACTCAGTAGTCTAATAAATCATTTCTCCGATACCAAGGAAAATTGGGTGTTAAGAATCTATGGATTATTCTTTGCAAAACCATCCTGACCTTGGCATGGCGGGGTGGAGATTCAGATTATAGACCTTGTTGATGTACAATTAGTCTTCAATAAAATGCTAATGTATATAAGTAACTGTAATAGTCTAAGGTAACTGGATAAATTTTATCACTGAAGTTTATCATTTTATCTTACTCTCTTCAATTTTTAAAACCTTATCAAATATGTGAAAAGACAGTTATTCCAATAATTAATGTCAACAATTCAAACACTTCAGGATGTCTTCCTGAGCATCATAACGTGTTAAAAATCATGATAGATTAATGAGTCTTGAGATTTCTTCCTGAGGATGCAGACATATCAGGACTGTCATCTCTTCAGTTCTCTTTAATTAACTGACGGTTTTAAACTTTGACTAATTGCCCTTTCGGGGAGTGGTGTGTGTGTGTGTGTGTGTGTGTGTGTGTGTGTGTGTGTGGTGGAGTGTTAAAACCAGTCTTGAGAGATGTTGAACACCATTCAAGCTGATAGTGTGTTGTTTTGATGAAAGAGAAATAAACACAATTCTAATAACTGATAAAACTTTTATTCTATTCTTCACTCCAGGAGGTACATATCTAACCAATAAAGTATATTTTATCATTAATATAGAATGAATTATTTGGCATTAAAACTAAAATAACCACCTTTTACCCTGTAATGTAATGGCAATAAATAGCTAGATGAACTGTTTGAATTCTGGTTCTGCTGCTTAATTGCCATTGGCCTTGGAAAAATCACTTTGCTTCTCTTGGCTTCAGTTTCTTTATTTGAAAAAAAATAAATAGTATCTATTTAAATGAATTTATATAAGGTAAGCACTTAGAACAATACCTGGTACATGGCAGGCAAAAAACTCAATAAATGTCAGCAAATTATTTCCGGAGTTTATTGATTTATTTTTTAACTTTTTTTTTTTGACATAATTTCAGATTTATAGAGAAGTGGCAGGAATAGCCCAGTCTTTGTATAACCTCCACCCAGGTTCCCCAAACGTTAATATTTTACCACATTTGCTTTGTCCTTGATTCTGTGTGTATCACTTTGTTTCTAGCCTTTAAAGAGTAAGTTGCAGTCACTGCACCCTTTCACCCTTAATTATTTCAGAGTATGGTTCTTAAAACCAAGAACATTTTTTAATGTATCCACAGTGCAGTTCTCAAAATCAGGAAATTATCACTGATACAACATTATTGTCTAATCTATAGACTTGATTCAGATTTTGCCAGTTGTCCCAATAATGCCCTTTATAGCAGAAGAAATCCCAGATTGTGCCTTTTATCTACTGTCATATCCCTTTCATTCTCCTTAACTCCTTAAAAAGTTCCTCGTGGCTTTTTTGGTCTTTTAAGACCTTAAAATTTTTCATACATACAGGCCAGTTATTTTGTAGAATGTTCTTCAATTTGAGTTTGTTCCCTCATGTTTAGACTCAGGTAATGAATTTTTTGTAGGAATATCATAGATATACTGTGTTTGTTATAGATATACTGGGCTGTTAACCTTGATCATGTGGATAAGATGGGGTCTGCCACTGTAGAGTTACCACTTTTCCCTTTGAAATTAAATCTATGTAAAGGGAGATACGGTTAGACTATTAGTAACTTTTTCCCCCTATAATGGTTGATTAAGAACCATAGAATTACTCCATAATTTTTTATACAAAACAATACAATTAAAAAGTAATGATGTGGGGTCATATAAATCAAAATTATTAGAACAGAAGTGCTGCTGAATTTTATAACACTTGCTAGACATAAATATTTGTAATAGCTTTAATTTTCATAGCTTTAGACTTACAGTGAAATAGGTAGTTGTTTTGGTTTGATATGCACTCAACCATATTTGAATCATGTCTGACATGATTGACATCCGGCTTCCTGACTGATTTGAAATATATGACTCTTGTTGGCATTTGGGGGATGAGGAATTTGTTTCTAAGTGCAGCATTTGATTCTTTCTGCATTATTCAAATTCCCATACCTGTTCCTCTCTTTAAAAATATATTGTTTTTAACTTCAACTCTGTGTAAAGAAGAAATCATGAGGAACTAAGCACTTAGCTAACAAGATCTTAAAATCACCAAATACTGTGACCAAGAGATGCTTCGCCATATGTTGGGAGATAAGTATAGAAGGTACCTGGATCCAAACATTCCCGGGGAGTGAGAATGAGGGTTCCTGAATAGATATTTTGCCATTTCCTTAATTTTTACAATTAAGCATATTTCAGTCTTAACCAGACCATCATGCTTTGTGGATATAGGAAGAAAAATGACACAGGTTATCTCTCTAGCTAAGCGGTTCTCAACCTGTGGGTCGTGACCCCTTTGGCGGTCGAACGACCCTTTCACAGGGGTCGCCTAAGACCATTGGAAAACACATATATAATTACATATTGTTTTTGTGATTAATCACTATGCTTTAATTATGTTCAATTTGTAACAATGAAAATACATCCTGCATATCAGATGTTTACATTACGATTCATAACAGTAGCAAAATTACAGTTATGAAGTAGCAACGAATATAATTTTATGGTTGGGGGTCACCACAACATGAGGAACTGTATTAAAGGGTCGCGCATTAGGAAGGTTGAGAACCACTGCTCTAGCTACTAACTCTTCAGGCTTTCTGAACTGGCTTGAACCCTAGAGGTTACATCTGAGAACTAAACCTCATGTCATCCACAGGATACCAGGCAGGTTTGTTCATTTGTGTTAGTAGGTTAACATATGGACTTCTAATTAAAATCTGTTGGAGAATATTATTACGTGGAGGATTGTATTAACCATGTAGTGTGTTGGGATAGTGCTGGGTGACTGTCATAATTTCCACTGCTACAGTTATAAAAAGGAGAATAAAGTCGGTTCTTTTTGTTGGGAAAGAAGATTTCATGTTATCTATATTTGCAGGCTTTCTGGCTCACATGCGGGAGGAATCCTTGCTGCGGGGGTGTTTTCATTTTCTCGTCTAACATGGCAGTGGTCCATCGCAGCGGAGGTTTTTAGCTTAAACAATCTGTTTGTGGGGCTGCTTATGGCTCTTACTGTACATTTCGAGGAGGCAGCAACCGCAAAAGAAAGATCAAAGGTAACCTATTTTGAGCACAGTGAAGTCACTTTGTGTTTTTATTTTTAGATAGATGCTGTGTTTCTTTTAAACTTTGGTTTAGATATTGTTTATCTGTTCTGATTACTGTCAAGGTAATGTAGGCATATTGAGAGAGAAAATATTCTCAGGTCTTTTACTGTGGACCATGAGAGACTTTATAAAACATGGGATTTCCCCCCCCCCCCCTTGGAGTTCAAAAGTTTTTTGGAGAAGGAGGGAATTCTGAAATCCCCTTGATTCCTATGGGAAAGATAGGCTTGTTGGTTAATTCCACCATAGTGTGTGTGTGTGTGTGTGTGTGTGTGTGTGTGTGTGTGTGCGCGCGCAAGAGAGAGAAAGATGGTAATATGCCAAGCTCTAGATTGACCACTTTAAATTATATACAATTCTGGTAGAGTGACTTATTACCCAATTCCAAAAAAAGGATCAAATTTGTACTTTTTAAATTCTTTATTGTTGAAAGTATTACATATGTCTCCTTTTTTCCCTGTTGACCTCTCCCCAAATTTGTACTTTAGAAGAGGAGAGAACCAAATGTAAGAATGAAGTAGTTCAGAAGAGATTACAATGAATTCTATGATAGGCACTATCATCAAGATAATTTGAAGCTCGAAGGAAGCCTGTCTCCTAAGAGCTTACAGTCTACACATTGGAAAATGCCAAATCATCTCTGTATAGGCAGCACTGTGTTGTTAGGGAATATAGAACCAAAAAAACCATTGTGGTTATCTGTGGCTTCCGTAACACATCTGCGATACTATTAGAGTTTTTTGTTGTTTAAAATAAACTTTTTTCTGATTCTGAAAACAATGCATGTTCAAAAAAAAAGTAAAAACACCACCCATTGATAACCAGGTTTTAAATAAATAGTGTTATATTTCATTTATTTAATTTATTGGGAGAAAAAGTAAAGCAAATATTGTTGATTTTAGTTACAGATTTTACTCAAATAAGAATTATATGACATCCTATTACTGTTAGGACTTATCTAGTCCTCATACAGGACTTTCTGAAATTTAGTTTGAAGACAATTATTTAAGGTCAAACTGAAATGCTTTGATAAGAATGAAAAATATTAATAAAAATAGTGGTGATAAATATTAGTGACTGGTAAAAATTGACTGCTTGTGTCTAAGCAATTGAATTTTAATCTGACCTGTGGTATGCCTAGTTTTAATATACAGAATAGTTTTTTTTACTATTGTGCTTACTTAGAGTTTTAGGTGAATATTTAACTTGTTTTTCATTTTTACTTTATTTTCAGATAGCTAAAATTGGTGCTTTCTGCTGTGGCCTTAGCTTATGTAATCAGCACACAATAGTACTCTATGTTTTGTGCATAATACCATGGGTTCTCTTTCGACTTTGCAAAGAGAAGGTAGGTTTTGAATTTTGTAAAAATCAAAGTTCATAATATTTTATTTAGGCCCAATACAACATATGTCACCATGGGAATTTACTTTTTATTTTCAGTTTCATATATTGTTTAAATTACCTTAGGTCCTAACAACATTGAAAAAATAGGATTTTTGACAAAAATTCTGCCGTATTGATTACAGTGGCATCTGGCCTGTTTTGTAATTTTCTTATGGATTGTGAATGGGTGGGATCTCCGCTCAAGCAGCAGGAATGCAGTTTCCCAAGATCTGAGCCCTGGTTGCTTTGTCAGCCCGGCTTCCCTTCTCCATCTCTATCTGATCCTCAGCAGTTGAGCCCTGCAAATGCCCGCAGTGGTCCCCATGGGGTGAGATTCGAGTAGGCTTCCTAGAAAGCATCCTGCAATGCCGGAGGAGCTGGATGTCCACTGGGAAACCGTAGCCCCAGGGTGTCCTCTCCGTGCAGTGCTGTGCTGGCCCCACCGGAGGGGTGGTGCAGTCGCTTCCAACGCAGTCCTTCTCAGTCTCTGTGTTCCAGGGACAGGCTCCGGCCCCAGCCTGGGTTCGGTACTTGCACAATGGTGTTTTGTCTATGGATAGCTGCTGGTTGGTCTTTTTGTGAGGAGACTGAAGTCAGGAATGATCTATGTTACCAACTTAATGGTGTCACTCTTAGCCAGGTGTCTGACGTCCGAGAAGGTACATTCAGATGTCTGAGAGGTGCGTCCTCTGGCAAGAACCTGACAACCAAGTGTTAGATGGTTGAGAGGGGAGGCCATGCTTTGTGTAAAACATGCAGGACTCAGAGCTGACAAGTTAGGAGGCTGGTTTGAGAGCCTGTTGGCCCTGTACTGAGGCCAGCTACTGATGAAGGATGAAATTTTGGGAAGAAAGACTCTTCAAAGGACCTGTCATTTCCATAATTTAAATAACAGAGGCTAGAAAATAAGGTCTACCAATGGAGAGACAGGGTAGTTGGATTTGAGGCAGAGGAAGAAGTCCTGAGTCAGTTGGTTGCAATTCTGGCTGCTCACTTGAATGATCTGGGAAGCTTTGAAAGAGTGAATGTGTTTTTATATGTGTGTACATATAGGGTGTCCCAAAAATGCATACACACACTGAATAATTATAAAGCATGTTTATTAAAATACATTTCATTTTCAGAATTGAGCTATGAGCTGTTAAAGCATATATACCTTTTTTGGGACACCCTGTATATTAATGTATGTATCTGTGTGTGTGCATATATATTTATGTGTGTGTGTATTTATATATTTATGTGTACAGGATGAGGCTTAGACACTGATATTTTTTAAAAGCTCTCCAGGTGATTCTAGTGTATGCACAGCTAGGACATGGAACCACGCTCCTGGGCCCTGTGGATAGCTTTCATGTAACTGTCTCCTGTTTCTTTCCTGCACAAAAGGAAAATTCTGCAGCAGTTGCATCTTGCCATTCTGTAATATGCAGAAACTGCCAAAATGCAAGCATTTACTTTCTTTAAGACTGCTTTTAAGAATAGCAAAGGCATGTTGTTCAGTTAGTTATTTCTTACACTCTTTTCATGCTGTCATTTTTTATGTATCTCATTACCACTTCAGGAATAGCAAATCAGTACTATAAAAACACTCCATAATCAATTAAAAATGTTTATTTGAAAATATTGATATAAGTCAGCTGCTTGTTGTACATCTGGTGAATGTGAATCTTGATTCTTATATCCATTGTCACATATGAATTTCCCTTTTTTGTAAAGAAAAAAATTGGCAATTTCCAATGATGATATTTGTAAGAGACCCCCTTTCCCGATTACTAAAGCGAACACTATTTAAATCTTTGTAGTAGTACACCAGAATTCTTTTGGACTTAATCTTTATAAGATTTTGTCAATATTATCCTTCATTTTAGAGGTGTGCAAATGAGAAATATATTCTCTATAGAGGCAACCTTGTTATATAGAACAACACATTTCCTTTAGTACTTCATTCTATGTGTAAACTGAGGATAAAGAGCATTTGGGTGAGCTGGGAGGTTATTTAAAAGCTAGCTTCATTTGTGCCAAATATTTCCATGATATAACCCAAAATCTTGTAGAAAGATTCATATTATAATGTATAATCATAATAGAGCATATAGCTAAAGTCTACTCCTGATGAAGGTGATGAAATGAGTTTGCATTAGGACAATATTTGGGGGCATATTCAAAATCAACTGAACAACGTAATCACTTCCAATTGGGTTATCTCTGCAATGCTGCATGTCATGACATGGTTTTAATTTTAAAAGATGCAATAAAAATGGTACTTAAGGGTCTTCGCTAAAATTATTTGCTTCACTCAGATTTCACCTGCCATGCAAAGGAGTTCAGGCTGAGCAATTTTCTAGTAATCCCTGGTAATCAGAAGGTTTAACATAGAATTCTGTGGTGACTTCATATAAATTGAGAGATCAACGCTGAGTAAACATAGTTGATGTTTTCCTTGATGTGTTCTTGAAGTTCCAGGATGAATCTACTAGGATAAACATTGTCATACAACACCCTGTGCTCTGATGCAGGAACTCTCCTGGGGCTCGGTGTTGAAGCTGAGTCTGTGCTTCTCTGCTGGTTTGCTGCCCTACATCTATCTTCCTATCTCATCCTACCTCAATCAAGCCCGCTGGACCTGGGGAGACCAGACAACGGTGCTGGGATTTTTGACTCATTTTCTCAGGGAAGAATATGGAACATTCAATCTGGTAAATTTATACTTAAAGCTCTTTTAAGGAATAAGTGGCAAAACTTCCGTGTTCTGCCTGAAGCTCTATTGAAAGAAAGAAAAAAACAATCAATGTTTGTCAGTGGCAGTATGTAGAATTTTTATTTCAGTTATTTATGGAACAGATTTGCCAATTGAAATGTGACATTTAACATATGTAAGAAAAAAAAATGGGACCCCTTAACCTGACGTTGTACCGCTTTATATCCTGAATGTATTTTAGGGTAACAAGCATTCAAAAGGCTCTGCCGCCAGCACTTGGAAGCATTTCCGTAGTGCTGGGGGTCACTTTGGGCTCTTGGTCTGTGATTTAAAATATCTGAAAAGATTAAAGGAAAAAGAAAACTCGATTTTTAATTTACTTTGACCAAAACGTTCTTTTTATATATTTGATGAATAGTGTTCATGTTAGTATTTAGTGTAATGCCTATGTGTAAAGGCTTTATAAAATGTAATTTCACTAAGTGTGTAAAATTTACTATGTCCTAAAGAAGGTCAAAAGGGCTTGTTTTTCTTTTTTTTTTTAATTAAATCTTTATTGTTCAGATTACATTTGTTCCTCTTTTTTTTCCCCCCATAACTCCCCTCCTCCCAGTTCCCGCCCCACCCTCCGCCCTCACTCCCCACCCACTGTCCTCATCCATAGGTGCACGATTTTTGTCCAGTCTCTTCCCGCATCTCCCATTCCCCTTTCCCCTCCAAGAATAGTCAGTCCATTCCCTTTCTGTGTCCCTGATTCATTATAATCACCAGTTCATTCTGTACATCAGATTATTTATTCACTTGATTCTTAGATTCCCTTGTTGATAGATGCATGTTTGTTGTTCACAATTTGTATTTTTACCTTTTTCTTCTTCCTCTTCTTAAAGGATACTGTTCAGCATTTCGTATAATACTGGTTTAGTGGTGATGAACTCCTTTAGCTTTTCCATATCTGTGAAGCTCTTTATCTGACCTTCAATTCTGAATGATAGCTTTGCTGGATAAAGTACTCTTGGTTGTAGGTTCTTGGTATTCATCACGTTGAATATTTCTTGCCATTCCCTTCTGGCCTACAAAGTTTCTGTTGAGAAATCAGCTGACAGTCGTATGGGTATTCCCTTGTAGGTAATTGAGTCTCTTTCTCTTGCTGCTTTTAAGATTCTCTCTTTGTCTTTTGCTCTTGGCATTTTAATTATGATGTGTCTTGGTGTGGTCCTCTTTGGATTCCTTTTGTTTGGGGTTCTCTGTGCTTCTTGGACCTGTAAGTCCATTTCTTTCACCAGGTGGGGGAAGTTTTCTGCCATTATTTCTTCAAATAGGTTTTCAATATCTTGCTGTCTCTCATCTTCTGGCACCCCTATAATTCTGATATTTGTACGCTTGAAGCTGTCCCAGAGGCTCCTTACACTATCTTCGTATTTTCGGATTCTTTTTTCATTTTGCTTTTCTGGTTGGGTGTTTTTTGCTTCTTTGCATTTCAAATCTTTGACTTGATTCTTGCGCTCCTCTGGTCTGCTATTGGGTGTCTGTATAATATTCTTTATTTCAGTCAGTGTATGCTTAATTTCTAGTTGGTTCTTTATCATAGCATCGAGGGTCTCATTAGTTTTCGTGAGGCTCTCATCAAGTTTATTGGCTGCTTCTAGCACATTATTGCAAGCCCTCAAAATTGCGTTTTTTAGCTCTGTATCCTCCATTTCTGTCATGTTTTTTTGTCTCCGAATTTTTTATGCTTTCTTGGTGCACCCCCTTGTGGTCTTTGTGCGCAGTCTTGTTCTAGTTGAGCCTTGATTGTTGTAGTTAATACTAGAGGGATTTGACCACCAGGCCGACTGGCTGTGAGAATCAGCTGTGGGAAAACTTCTGTCCTCTGGAGAGGTGCTAATCTAGCCTTTGCCTGAGGCGATCTGGCAAATGGCTCTGCGCAGGGCTTGGGCGGGGCGGGTCCCAAGGGATCAACAGGGCGGGCGGAGGGAGCAGTTATGGCTGCTCTCAGTCCCGTTCCCAGAGGCTCTGCTTCTCAGAACCCCAGCAACAGCTGCACACCTCGGAGAGAAAGCTGCCCTCACGTTTCAACTGATGCCAGACAATCCCGCTTCTCCCGTTTGAGTCTGAGTCCCTAGAGACTCGCCCGGATCTGGAGCTCAGAGTCTGAGACTCCCTCCTGATTGAAAACGACAACCACGCCCTCAGCCACCAGCCCGCTTTGTGCGCGCACCTCGGTACCTTTATATTTTCCACACTGCGCCTCCTCTGAGCCTCAGAATGCTGTTCTCTTTCCTTCTAGTTGAAGAGTCTCTCCTCAGCCAGCTTTCCTGTGGTTCTGGGTGATGTCTGTTCCGTCTTTTAGTTGTATTTTTGAAGTGGTTCTTTGCGGCAGCAATCTCAGGTGTTTACCTATGCCGCCATCTTCGGTAATCCGGGCTTGTTTTTCTTAAAACATATTAGGGGAAAACACTAAAGTGGTTACCGTATAGGTTATCTGAAAAATCAAAAGATAATCAGATGGGTTTTTATTTTAATATAGACAGTTGTATCAGACTTTTCATGGTTTGTGCTTTTTTGTGTCTTAAGAAGGCAAATCTCAAAAAAATACATATTATATGACACCATTTATACAAAATTCTAAGCCATGCAAAAATTAAACAATCTATTTCTCAAGGATATATACAAAAGTAGTAAACCTACATATTTTAGAAAATTTATGGGAGATGAGGAAGGCCAGGCTGTGTGAGATACCTTATGTATTCATGTAGTTCTGTTTCTTAAATGAATGGTAGAGCTATAGATTTTTAAAAACTATCACTTAAATATACATTATACTAGAGGCCCAGTGCACGAATTCGTGAATGGGTAGGGTCCCTCGGCCTGGCCAGTGATTGGGGCCAATCAGAGCCATCTTGCCCAGTCCCGATTGGGGCCAATAGGGGCCGGCTGACCAGGGAGAGGGACTGCGGGAGGTTGGCTGTGGGAGTGCACTGACCACCAGGAGGCAGCTCCTGTGTTGAGTGTCTGTTCCCTGGTGGTCAGTGCGCATCATAGCAACCAGCCCACCAGTTGGTCGGTCGCTTCAGCTTTTATGTATATTGATATATTGTTTGTATGTTAAAGATATCCTAATATATAAAGAGCAAGGGTCCGTTACAACCTAAACATCCGGAAGGACAACCGAACACAGGCTAGGGTCCCGGCCCGTACGGTGGGAGTCAGTCCTGGGTCCTGTCCGCCCGTGGCACGACGGTGGGAGGGAGCTATGGGCCCTGACCGCTTGCTGCGCAGTAGCGGGAGGAAGCTGTGGGAACAGAGCCATGCTGCCATCAGACTGGCCTCTTGTTCCCTACCCCCAGCCTACAGGCTCCGGGAAACGGAGCTATGGATCGGACTGGCCTCTTGGTCCCTCCCCCTTCCCGCAGGCTCTGGGGAACTGGAGCCATGCTGCGATTGGACTGGCCTCTTGGTCTCTCCTCCCCTTTACCCCCCTCCCCCACTCCCCACCCCACCCCCGGCTCGCAGGACCGGAGAACCACAGCCATGTCGAGATGGAACTGAACCCTACCCGAGGGGTCCCAGATTGTGAGAGCCTGCAGGCTGGGCTGAGAGACACGCCCCCCCCCCACACCCCGAGTGCACGAATTTTCGTGCACTGGGGCTCTAGTTTAATAATATTTAGGTTAATAAAAGCATAATTATTTTTTTACTTAAGAATTTAACACATCTGGTTTACTTATATTGGTCATTCCATTAAAGTATTGTTTGAGGACCATTTCAGATTTGAAATTTGTATAATTCACACACAATTATAGACTAACAAGTGATACTGAGCTCTAATCAAAGTGCCCCAAAAAAGAGCCTAAAGAGATTCTAAGAGTAAAGACTATTAATTCATAATGTGCTTGACATTTCTGCTGGAATAGTTTGACTGATTTTTAGCCAATTATTATTTCTGAATTTCTTCCTAAACAATGTTCATGTTTAGTTTCACTGACTTTGCTATAAAAATTCAGTAAGGCTCTGAAGTAAAGAGTTGGAATGAAGAGAAATGTTGCATTGTATATTTAAAGCCTGTATGTTTTAAATGGAGATAGTTAAATATGATAGCTTAGCAGAGTTTTAGTTTAATGCTTGTGCAAATAAACTTTTCTCATTTATGTTTAGGCTAAATCTGAAATAGGATCCAGTATGTCTGAAATTTTACTGTGAGTATGAAATATTTGGAACTATTTTAAAATGAATTCTCTATTTGTTCTTTTGAATGGTTTGAGGTATTTCTGAGTTTTTCTCTTTGTAAAGTGGTATGTCTGTGAGCCCACATAGTTGGTAGTTGTTTTGTATTCATATTGTCAAGTATTCTACCATCTCCTTCAATAAGAGAAAACTGAAAATGAGCAATAAATCCAACAATGAATGGGGCTATTAGGAGGCTACATAGAACCTATAAAACTAAAATGCTTCGAATGTAGTGTTCCTTTATTAATAAAGTTCATGCTTTGTTCTGATTTCGACTATCTTCTTTCTTCCACAGACATTTTATAACATAGTATTTATCAACATGAACAATTATTTTCTTGTTATCTTGAAGTGAGCTATGCTTTTTTAATTCTTTGGAGCTTAGTTTATTTAATGTCTCTTAAGACTTTTCCTGTAGACTGTCCTTAAGCTCTATTTTTGACATATATTTTTTAACATTCAATCTTATTAAAGCCAGCTCAAGCAAATATATTTTATCTATATTATCTATTAGCTTTTTTAAAAAAATGGATTAATATTTGCTTTAAAATCTATACAAATTAAGACAACTTGGAAAATATCCATACCAATCCTGTAATATTTTTAAAAATATTTTCAATATGAAATTAGGGAAGAATAGTTTTCTATAACACTCAGGTTATCTCTAATTATTAATTTTGGATTCTAATTGTTAATTTGAAAACCATTTAAAAAATATGGGCAGGTTATGGCCAGTGTGGCTTACTTGGTTGGAGCATCATCTCATACACCAAAGGTGAGGGGTTCAATTCTGGATCAGGGCACATATGTAGGTTTTGGGTTTGAATCCTGGTCAGGGTACGTGCGGGAGGCAACTGATCAATGTTTTTCTCTCATATCAATGTTTCTTTCTCTCTCTCTCTCTCTCTCTCTCTCTCTCTCTCTCTCTCTCCCCTCCCCTTCCTCTCTCTAAAAATCAACTTAAAATTTTTTATATAAATTATCGAGAATATTTCAATTCTATATATAAATCACTTCATAGGTTCTCAGAATTTCTATCTTATTTGCAAGCTTGTTTTTCTTTCATCCTTCTTTTCTTTTTTAAAAAAAAGGATACAAAATTATTATGAAAAGTTCAGGAAATACAGTTAAGCAAAAATACAAAAATGAAAATTACTATAATTCCAGCATGTAAAGGTAACCACTATTATTAATCCATTAATGTTTTTATCTATTTTTCCAATATTTTTAATATATTCGTTTTTTTAATGGGCTTATAATATACAGGGGTAGGCAAAAGTAGACTTACAGTTTTTTATATGGGAAAATAATAATACAAGAATAAACTTTTGCATACTAATAACTATAAACCTACTTTTGTCCACCTCTGTACATACTGATTTATTAGCCTTCTTTTTCATTTTATACTCTATTTTGAAAACATTTTCCTGCCACCAATTATTTGTACATAACCTTTGATGGTTCTCACAGCTGATTTTAAATATTTCTGTTTATGTCTAAGACTTTTACAGCCCACTTTCCTGTTTTGCTGGGGAGACAGCAAAGAAGCTCAGTTTCCCTTTTAAAGCTAAAGACAGCTTTGCCAGTGTCTCGGGGCTTTTACTTTCTCCTTCTTCGCTCCGTGTCAAAGACTCACTGCCTGCTCTTTTTTTACCTACCTTTCGGGGTTACTATCACACTCAGGATTACTGGTGTATTTGCTTTAACAAATGCCACATGAACTTCAAAGAACTCTCAAGAGCAACCCTAGACTAGACATCTAACCTTTATAAGTTGCACATAAAAGTCATCTATTAGGTAATTGTAGGCCCCCTTTACACTGAAATAATAGAAGTTTGGCTATACACCCAGAAAAAAGACCTGACAAAAATGATGACCACTTACACTATTTGTTCGGACAAGATTATAATGTAAAAATGGAGGAATAATCCTTATACTCTCAGATTAAGAGAATTTCTAGTGTTTAATTGTTTCAGGTAGACAAGAGTGTTGAGAAAGGGAACTCATAATTAACTTACTAGAAAATCCTTCAAAATGATGGAACCTAATCATCAACCCTTTGCCAGTCGAGTAAATTAAATTCTTCCCCACTCGTATCTCTAAATTGCAATCCTGTACAAGGAAATTATTGAATCTAACCCTAGGCAGTGACCATGTTTTAGAGCTTACATTTAAGCAACATATCTCCAAGAATTAATTTTGAGGCTGACTTCGTTCCTTTTGAAGAATGGCTTGAAATGGGCCTCATGCTGGAATCAATTTTTTAAGTGTATTTGAAAATGAATAAGGATATCTTCCCATAGTTGATGAGTCTCCATTAGTAAAATACACATTGTGTGGTTTCCATAATTATGGCATCACATTTTCTCCAGTAAAATTGCCAGTAGGGAGAAGAAAGTTCTTTTAGATGGTATATTGAATCATTTATTTTTCAAAAAATGGAGACTGCTAGAGCTCAGATACCACTTGGAAAATGCTTGTTAATTAGTTTATGAAGCCAATGGAAGAATTTAGTGTAATTATAAGGAAAAATGATGCATTTCTCAGAGATTCCTTGAACATTTTTTGAACCAAATAATATAGAAAACAAGGAAACCTTTTAAAGGAAAAAGGTAACCCAGAAATGAATGGCTGGAGATCATTTCTCTTGTCCTTTTTTAAATTCATGATTGGATCTCCAAAAAATGCTTTGAATTAATTTTGTTTTTAATTGCTAATCACTGGAGGCCAGGAAGAAGTTCAGAAACCCATTTCAGATGACTTCTTATCAAGCCAATCAGGAATACAAATTGTTTTACAATATCAATACAATATACTAGTATCACAAACACTGAAAAATTATTTGTTCTGATGCTATCCCAAATTATATAAATTGATAACCAAATGTTACAATTGGAAAATATCTTAGAACTATTTAACTCTTTCTTGAAGTACTTTTTCTCCCGAATTTGAAAGAAGAAAAAATAATTTTCAATCTGACTTCATCCCTTAAAATTATTCAGTACAGCCCTGACTGGTTTGGCGCAGTGGATAGAGCGTTGGCCTGTGGACTGAAAGGCCCCAGCTTCGATTCCAGTCAAGGGCATGTACCTTGATTGTGGGCACATCCCCAGTAGGGGGTGTGCAGGAGGCAGCTGATCGATGTTTCTCTCTCATCGATGTTTCTAACTCTCTATCTCTCTCCCTTCCTCTCTGTAAAAAATCAAAATACATATATATTTTTAAATTATTCAGTACATAATCGGATGTATTTTACAAAGAATGTTTTATTTGGAATTAACCAAATTTGTTTTCTGTCAACAATAAGTTTGATTTGTCTTTTACAGTTCTCAAGTAACAAACATGAGGACTGAACTCTCCTTCAACATCCAAGCCCTTGCAGTTTGGGCTAATATATGTTTAGTAAGAAGGTGAGTCATATAATATTTCCTGTTATTTTTCCCATGTTTATTAATTAAATTCATATTTTCAATATGTCATTGTAGAACATGGCCTCTAGTATTTTATATTTCAAATAAATTTAACCACTTCTATGAAGACAAATATGTATTATTTTCTTGATAGTTTTTGTTCTGATTATAAATTAGTGATTTTGAAAGATTGAACAGTGTATTACAATCTAACTAGGCGAGTCATTTAATGTCTTAAACTTCGGTTTGATCCCTTACTTTGCCCATAGCCAATTATTATTGCTTTACAAAAGAAGCAAACAACTATTTGAATTCCTCTAAAGATAAAAGTAACCTTCAATGATAAAAAACTAAAAAAAATCACTATTAACCTTCATTAATTTGTAGCCCATCAAATATATATATATACATATATACACTATATATATTTATAGTTTTGTTTCCTTAATACCTAACATTATATTGTGAGCATTTCCCTATACCACAAGAATATTTAAAATCATTTAAATGTCTGTATAATTAAATATTCTCCTATTTCAGGATCTTCAGATAGCTTCCAGTTTGTCCACTATTATAAGTGATACCAAAGCATTTTTATAGATTAATCTCTATCCACATTTCTGGTTATTGTTTAAAGATTTATGCCTACATGTCAAATTACAGGGTCAAAATGTGAATATTTTTAAGGCTCTTGATATATATTATCAAATTAACTTTTCTTAAAGACTGTACCAATATACATTCTCATGCAACCGCATTCTCGCCAATACTATTGAGATTTGTCATTTTATTATTTTGGTGCATGAAATTATCCTTTTGTTTTGCATTTGTTAATTACATTTTAATTTAACAAGATTAATAATTTGTATTTCTTCTGCAAATTTTAACTTTGTATCTTTTGCTGCATATTTCCTAGCTGTCTAGAATATGGAGACAGTGTATTTTATGACTATGTTTTGGTTATCTATTCCAATTCAGATTTGAAACACTGAGATCCTTCTTTAGTCCTACTTAAAAATGGAAAGTTTTAGAGTTCCAGATATTTTCCTATAGTTTAAAACTATGTAATAGTAGTATTGGTATTCTTGTACACAAGTAATTTTGGACTTATTTTAATTTTTTATAGGGACAGACAGAACCCATCATTAGTGTGGCTTTTTACTGGAATGTTTTGCATTTATTCATTGTTCTTTGCTTGGAGGGCAAATTTAGATATTTCAAAACCACTTTTCATGGGTGTGGTAAGTTTTATTTAGATATATTCTTCACAAACTTTCTGGTCAAAAGATATATCAGTTTGTCTCTCATGAATCTTGTAGAAAAGCAGATTATCTCAGAAATAGTTAAAATTATATGTGCATTATTATAATAAAAAATTAAATTATTGAACTAGTAAGGCAAAGGCCTCTTTTTCGGTAAAAATGCATTGTTTAGTTAACACAATAGTTAAATAGAAAAATAAATGTAAGGTAGATTTAAGTTAGGCATTTTATGTGTGTAATAGATATAGGTACTACTGTATTTTTCCTGGATTTTTTCTAAATAGCAAAGAAATATGAGTTGTAATTGGGGGCTCTTATCAACACAGTTTATTATTTCTTACCTCACTTGTCCAGGCCTATGCAAAATAGCAACCACATTTCTGTTTTTAACTGGCTACCATTTCTGAGATTCTCCATAGTAGAAACTCTGTAAATGGAGACAACTCTTTCTTAACAGCTGAAACAATTTTTTATGTGTTCAAATGGCCCAGTAGATAGTATCCTATTTAATCACCTGAGTTCTGAATCAGTTGAGAAACAAGATAACAAGCAGTAGAATCACCTTTATCACTGATAATGCTCATGTTGGAGAATGTGGTTTATGTCTGTGAGCGAGGGGGCTTTCTCATTCTGCATCCACAATACTAGTAGGCAAACCTACCCACCAGTCACAGGTAGTGCTGCACAGGCCAGGCCTTCTGTCCCCCACTCCATCCCACTGGTACCACAGGGACAGAGTCTGCCACTGGGCAATGCAGGTCCAGTCCCAGCTCCCAACTTGCCCAGTAAGCTCAGTCCATACGGTCCTACAGGAAGAAATAAGTGAGAGGGCAGCGAGTGTTAAACTAACGGCACTTCTGCACATGGAAGGGAACATCAGGAGTGAGGCAAATGCCTTTCTCCACCTCTTCCACTTTACATATTGCAGGAGTTCAACGCCAGGTCCATAGTACCGAAAAGGATGTGTGGGTCCCAAAAGGGAGCTTCACATGTCAAACTGGGAGGAAGGAATGTTTGAAAATTGAAAACTAAAGTAACATGGAGTTGGATCGGGGAAGTCAGTAAGCAAGACCTGAATGACAGCAGGCATAAGCAACTAGGTGTAAGCAGTATATTTGTAAGATATGTAAGTACCAGATTGATTGCAGATCAGTCACCTTGCTTGCCTCTTCGCAGGTGGAGCGATTCTGGATGCAGAGCAATGCTGTGGTGGCAGTCCTCGCTGGCATCGGGCTGGCCACACTGGTTTCTGAGAGTAACCGAGTGCTGAACACCAAAGGCTTTCAGTATCTAGAGTGGCTTTCAGCAGCTCTTTTTGTAATTTACCAAATATATTCTAATTACAGGTAGGAAGTGGTTATTTTTATGAAAGGTAGCACTCAAGCCAGAGATGTTTGGATATTTAGATTCTAGAACTTTATTTCATCTTCGCCTTCAACCATTTTTCAGAGTGAGACAGCTTGGTCTGAATGCTGTGGTCCTTAAACTTTTGAACCAGAATCTCAGCATGAGTGATATGTAATTGAGGGCATTGCAAACAGGGTGGTGCATGTAAACCATTTGTGTATTTTCCTCTAAGGAACTCTAGAGAGAGTTTGTAGAGTCTGCAGTATGTGTAAAATTCCATGATGTAAAAGACCACTTAGATAGGGAGTAAAGATATTTGGGCATTGTCGTATGCCCTAAAGTAATTCACTCTAGGCTTCAAAGATTTCGTCTTTTGAGTAGTACCTGGTCCTTACCTAGTTCATTCTGTAGAAGTGAATATTAATTATCTATAATAATAAAAGCATAATATGCTAATTAGATCTGACGACCTTCTGGATGAAGCTGGGGCTGTGAGGGAAGCCCAGGTCCTGGGTGCCAGAGGGAAGCTTGTGCCAGCAGCTGGGTGAAGGAAGGCCTACTCTTGCATGATTTTTGTGCATTGGGCCTCTAGTTTTAAAATAAAGGTCTAAAACAAGCATGTCAAACTCGCGACCCGCGGGCCTCATGTGGCCCACAATGAATATTTTTGTGGCCCAGCCAATATAACAGTATGTAAGAAACGTTTTAGTAAAAATTTCATAACTTAATTTTTACAATATTGTTATACATAATTATTAATAACGAGCTACAACATTTGCTAATGACTTATTACTATAATTGTGTTGCATTCATTTCCCTTACATGCCTTACGTGCAGGTGCACCATTTCTCTCCACTAATAGTAGTAGCGAATATTTTAGCAGCCGATTGCCACGTCATTAGTCTTGGACTGACTTGTTTGGTGTGCGCAACAGGAAATATTTTGCTTTCAGAGAACAAGAAAAATAGGTTTATTTGTGTTATGCTTATTTGTGCAGTTATTCTGTGTCTGGTAACTTAATGTTCAAGAAAAAATATTAATTAATTTTTATTAAAATGTCCTATTACTTTATGTTAACGATTACTCATTTATTTCAGCTCTTTGTATTCAGTGTGTCTCTATCGAAATAAACCTACATTTCTATGAAAATTGAAGCTTTTGTTTTTTTGCGGCCCACATAAACTTAAACCTTGTTTATTTGGCCCGAGTTAGCCTTTGAGTTTGACATGCTTGGTCTAAAAGCTTCTTTAACCCTTAGGCATTATTAGTATTGTATGTATTTTTCAAAATCTTTTAAATAATCATGCTAATGAAAGTCTCAGTCTAACTTAAAAGATGTCCAAGTTTTAGGTGATAATTCATTTATTTCCAGCAGTATTGAGTAAACATTACAGAAGTGGAAGAGTCCATGGGAGTTTTGTAATAAGATTTGATTGGTATTTTACAAGGTTAAATTTCCTCTGTCAACTTAGCTTTAAGAACTGATGTTCTTTATAATACCTGGGAAGAGCCAGTGTTAGGAAGGCTGCATCACCAGGACACCTGGTGGGATTCCAGACCCAACTCCTTAGCCAGCTCAGAAGGGTTTGCCAAGCCCACAGTGTGTGTTTACCCAACCTTGTTTTTATCCCAGTCTTCTGGCTCCGATCTTTTGGCAATCCAGGTTCAACACCACGGATATCGGCACAGGCTGGGTGGCCTTATTTTGTTTTGATTCTTTTATTTGCCCCAGGTGAATGGAATAGATAGCAACACTGCTGGGTGGTAAATGTGAAGCATCATCCTGCAAAGTAGGGGATCATAGGAGGAAAGAGTTGCATCGGTTACAAAGGCAAGGATAATATTTTGTTCCTGGAAGGGCTTATTTGCTTTGTGAGACTAGCCTACCGATTCAAGTTTCGGCTGTGTTTCTCAGTATCATTAAATGTAATAGACCTGAGGAGACCAGGAAGGACATTGCTTGCTCAGTTTTTTGATGCTTTTGCTTTTGTAGTCTTTTTCTTATTCTATGGGAAGTGCTCAGAATTCATGCCAGTTTTTCTTTGAAGTTAGAGCCTTCACTTCATCACTGAAGGGAATTGCACTGCTTTTGTTATAATGCCTGGAGAGAAGTAACAACTCAACCCTCTCTTCCTTCCCTCTCTTCTCATTGGCCCCATTCTCTAATGATTTCTTAGTCTGGAAGGGAGAGAGAAACACAGGGAGCCTGTAGCTCAAGAAGTGGTGCAAAGGGTCAATCTGGCATGCAAGAGTCAGACAAAGGGCATCCCGATTTATGCTACAAACTGGCAGATTTCTTTCTGCATTTCTGGATATTCCTTTGCACTAAGTGGAATTAACATGAAATTACCTTAAATTCCAGGTGGAATCAGAAACCTTACTTCTTTTTAGTTAAATTGGATACACTTTTAGGAAAAGTAAAAGGTCTTATTCTTGAGCCCTAACTGATTCTCTTTTTATGAAAATGATTATAATTCCAGAATTGAAACAATACATTGATTTTTTTTCTCAAGTGCACAATTAGTTCCTTTTTTTTTCAGATGATAGTGTTCACTTTCAAATATAAGCATGTCGTTGGAAAACATAAATTTGAATACTTTGAAGCACTAAATATAGATTATGTGATGGGAAAGGAATGAGGCAGAAAATAAGGCCAGTCTTATTAAATCTGAAGCAATATGCTGCTATTTTAATGTGTTTTTTTATTCTTTTATTTAGCATTTGTGACCAAAAGACCAACTATGTGATTGATAAATTTGCGAAGAACCTTCTAGCCTCTATGCCTCATGATGCAATTATCTTACTCAGAGGAGATTTGCCAGGAAATTCTCTCCGTTATATGCATTATTGTGAGGGACTGAGGCCAGACATTTCATTAGTGGATCAGGAAGTGAGTATATGAAAAATATACTGAGAATATAGTAATTGTAATCATTTAAAAACATGTTTTTTTAAAAAAAAAACCTGTATTTTAACAGTGTATGGGTACAGTTATCATGATCATTCTTAGAATATATATCATATTCTTTTGTTTATTTCTTAACTAATGGTGTAAGTCCTATGAGTTGCCTCTGCATTATTTAAACTGAGTGTTTAATGTTAAAACACATTTTAAGAATGTGTTTCACGTTAGATTCAAATAATATACTAGGTCTCTAGTTCACATGACAAACCATGGGAATATTTTATTGTAAATTTATTTTTAAATTGTTCTTTTATATACAAATTAACACTGCCCATTGGCCCAGGGGTTAGAATAAATTAGGTTGAATATAAAATAAGTCATACTGCAGGTAAGTAAACATTTCACTCAAAATAGAAATTATTAATCATGATTCTGCTATAGAATTTTGTGTGAACTTTATTGATCATATGCAAAATATATGGTCAGAAAGGACTTGTGAAAAGTCCTAGAAGTGAATCTTCTAGAACTGAAGAAATATATTTAAACTATAAGAATTATTATTTAAACCATAAATACTTAAAAGGGAACAAATATGTATTTTTAGAGCAGTCATAGGAAAAGAGAAATTCTTAATCTTAAAAAAATACTATGATTAATTTGGTTGAGAAAATTATTAGATGCATTACTTATTTAACAAATTTTGTTGAGTTAGTGAATAACTAAAACTTTTTTGGAGAAAACTTTATAAACAGATTTGCAAATATAGAGAAACTTACAAATGATACATTTTTATAAGCAGTTTACATTTATACCTAGTACGCTGATTAATTTTATCTTCAAGCTAGGTTATTTGTTGATAATATGGTATCACAGTATGGTTTTAAATACTGTTTGAGTTGGCAACTACTATATGTCATTGAGAAGCATGGATTTCAATGTTAACTAGACCAAAATTCAAGTCCTCATCACTTCTTGAATATGTGACATGGAACTAATGATTTTTTTTTCTCTCCTTATTTATAAAACGGAAATGACCATCATATAAACATAGAATGCTTTTGAATGCAAGAAGCAAAATACCTGATAAAGATAAAGATAGTTTAAAGTTTTTAATCTCACGTGACAAATAGTCTGGAGATAGTTGGTGCTAGGTTACTACAAGCAATTCAGTGATGTCTGTGTTCTGGGGCAGCTTCTCTGCAGGTACCTTGACCTGATGGGTGCCCTCTTCCGAACATCACATCATGAAACCAAGCCACAGACTTCTTCTAGGGCCTGCCCCACCCCCTTTCTCTACTGGGAGTAACATGTGCCCCAGAAGCCCCAAGCAGACCTCCATTCGGGCCACACTAACCAAAATTGTCATATGCCCACTCCTAACCTATCACCAACAAAGGGGAATGACTAGACCCAAGCATATTGCTGCCCTGGTTACTGATCAAAGTCAGGATTGTGTTCGTGAGAAAAAAGAGGTACTAGCTGTTCAGTGGGCATTCACAGTATCCTATATAATAAAAGGCTAATATGTAAATTGTCCCCTCGACCGGGAGTTCAACCAGGAATTTGACCAGGGGGTGGGGCCGGCTGGCCAACCGCCTGTAGCCCTGGCTAGCCTGATTGGCCCTAATCGGGGCAGGCCAGCCAGACTCCACCAGTGCACGAATTTGTGCACTAGGCCTCTAGTCAGATATAATTGTTCTCACATATAAGGTTGTTATGAGAATTAAATGAGAAACAATGTCATAGCACACCGTGGGTATTTAATGTTAATATCCCAAGAACAAACTATTGGGTAATAAAATCAAATTCATTAAGTATTTTGTGCCCTAGCTGGTTTGGTTCAGTGGATAGAGCGTCAGCCTGTGGACTGAAGGGTCCCAGGTTTGATTCCAGTCAAGGGCACATGCCTGTGGTTGCCAGCTCAATCCCCAGTAGGGGGCATGCATGAGGCAGCCGATCAATGATTCTCTTTCATCATTGATGTTTCTATCTCTCTCTCCCCTCTCCCTTCCTCTCTGAAATCAATAAAAAATAAGTATTCTGTGAATATTTGCCATATACACTTACATTAAAATTAGTCTGGCTGGACTAGGAGTATTTTCTTTAAAAAAAGAAAATCTGTACAAATAAAAGTATAGCTAAGTATATATTAACTATGGAATTAAGAAAAATGACTTTTCTGATATTAATGATTTATTTTAAATGTCAGCATATGTAATTAATTTGGAGATACTAATAAATTCAGATAATTTAGCCAAAAGGTTTTTTATCTTTGAAGCCTAGATTATTATATGATCAAGCTTCTCCCAGGCAGGGATTATAACTTCTTCTTTATAGGTGAACAATATATTTTTTTAGAATGGATGAAAGAACGGAGTAATGGCACATCTTTATTTTGCCTAGATTATCTAGTCTGGCCATCAAAGACATTTCAACTTCAGCAAACATAATTTGAGAACTGTTCTATGCCAGGCAGTGTGCTAGGTGCAGAAGCACAAAGAAGAGAGGATACAGTCTAGCGAGGAATAGTCTAAAAGCTATACTAGAGGTAGGTGAAGTGCTGCAGTAGCATATCATTCTGCTGTGGAAATTGGGGAGGGTATCCTAAAGGAAGTGATATGTAAGCTGGTTTTGAAAGTTGAGTACACATTCTCCAGAATGGGGAAGGTCATTCTGGATAGTACCTCAAATGCACGAAAGCAAAATGAAACTAGATGCTGACCTTACCCATGAGAGTCATAACTTAAGACTTGAAATCCTAGTTTTAAGTCATTACAAGAGTGGTCAATGCCACATACCTCAGTTGTGCTTGTATGTATTTTTCAATTATGTTTATTTTTTTAAAGATTTTTTTTTTACATTGATTTCAGAGAGAGGAAGGGACAGGGACAGAGATAGAAACATCAATGATGAGAATCATCCATCGGCTGCCTCCTCCATGCCCCCTACTGGGGATTGAGCTTGAAACCTGGTCATGTGCCCTGACTGGGAATCGATCCATGACCTCCTGGTTCATGAGTCAATGCTCAACCACTGATCCACACTGGCCGGGCCCATTATGTTTATATTCGATGAGCATATACCCACATTTTAGAACTTTTTTTGTACTTGCTAAATTTGATTTTTCTTAAAGAGGTATAATAAAAGCATGACATTATATGTTATTTTTCTGGCAGATGATGACTTATGAGTGGTATTTACCCAAGATGGCAAAGCATTTACCAGGTGTCAACTTTCCTGGGAACCGGTGGAATCCTGTGGAAGGAGTATTACCCAGTGGAATGGTCACATTTAATCTTTATCATTTTCTTGAAATAAATAAACAGTAAGCATTCTTTTAATGTAATAGCTTTTCTAAAATCTTAAGCTGTTCTAAAATTGTTTATGTAGCAGCTGTGCTTCATCCAAAAGACCAATTTTCTACACCTATTTTCCTGTCACCGGTGAGATTATCTTTGTAATTAAATTGAATATCTGTGCATAAATGAGACCAGGCAGAAATAAATGTTATTGTTCTGGGTAAAGGAAAAATAAAGACAGATTAGCAAGAATAGCAAATAAGATCTTAGTACAATTCAGAGAAGTTGGAGATGTGCCTCCTACTTGAAATCATTGCAGGTGAATCACAAGCAATTATAGTTTCCCTCTGATCAACACCATGGCCCCCTTTTAAGTGTAAAGGAAATGGCTTCCAGGAATAATCACGACATAAAAATAGCTTAAGGATTTCTTATAAAGGATAAGGCATTTTTATAAATAAGAAAAACACCTACAGTTATGGTGGCTAAGATAACATGAGAATTGTGAATTCCATACTTGAGAACATAAAATTATTCATAGTTAAGGTCAAGAATAAATAACTCCTCCAACAGTATAGTGTTGAACATTTCTCCTGTCTGTGAAATGCATGCAATTGTCCAGAGTGTGAAGAAGAAAAACTTATTTCGTAATTTCTATTCTCTTCTAAAGGGGACTTCAGAAATACTTTGTAAATTGCAAAGTTAAATTATCCCTTACTAAGAACATAATAATATACTTTTGGTGTTCAGAACCTGGAGTTTACTGTGCCTCATGAAGTAATATGAAGGTAATGGATATAAACGTGCTGTGACAGTAACATTTAATTGTTCTATTTTGGATTAAAATTCTAAGTACCATTAACATCACCAAATAGGCGTGTGTGTGTGTGTGTGTGTGTGTGTGTTGTGTTTATTGAACATTTATTGAATATGCCTTGTTCTAGCTTATATTAGGCCCTGGCATTATAATGAGACCAGTTCCAAATTTAAGTAGACCACAACCCAGTTGTATATAAACATGGGTACAAATACAACTGGCCATAATATGATAGGATAAGCTCTATTCTAGCAAAGCTTTGTCAAGTGTGAGACCCAGTAAGTGTTCAGTATGTGTCTCCTGAATGGATGATTTAACTGACAGTATAAGCCAAGTGTTCTTGGAGCATGCTTGAGGAAGCAATGAATTCTGCCTCGGGGCATTCGTTCAACATTTATTTAATAAATATTGGGTGTCCAATGTGTCCAAACAACTATACTAGCCACAGCTGCATGGATATCCCTGCAATTACAGTGTTTTCCTATACGCTTACAGGTGCTATCTTAATTATGAAACAGATAAATTATAGTATCATCTGGTAAGTGTGATAATGTTAGTATGTGCAGAATGTTGGAGACCTAAAGGCTAAGTAGGAATTTGTCAAGTGGGTGGGAGAAGGCTGACTCAAGGGAGTTGCATGTGCAGAGTCATGGAAAGGACCTGCTGAGCTCCAGGGACACGGGTGGCCCAGTGAGATCAGAGCTCAGAGCTTAGAGGGCTAGGTGAGGGGATGAGTGTGGAGGGATGGTGGGGCCCTGGTCATGAAGGGATTTATTCTATAGGCATGGATGAGGCCTTTCCTCATTATGGAAATATCTCATGCTCCTTGTGGAAACTATAGACGATACAGACAAGTATAAAGAAGATCAATATCATCTCTCTTTCAAGGACAATCACGTTAACACTTTAGGAAGCTTTTCGGGATTCCATTTATTTTTAACAAATTACTTATTTATATGCACACATACATACACTTGTATAATATATTTTATATAGCTGGGGTAATACTGAGTTTCCTGTCAGTTTTTCACCTAATATCTTGTTATGAGCATTCCCCCACGCACTCAGTAAATGGTCTTCATTAACATCATTTTTGGAGCTATATAGTATTCTCATATAGATTCATGATAACTTACCAAGTATTGTTGGATATTGTTGTTGTTTCTAGACTTTTGCTATTGTAATACAGCATGGTGACTTCTGAGTGTTTTTGCATATGAATGTCAAATTGTCCAAATATTATTTGTTGAAAACATTATCCTTTCTTCACTGAATTGCCTTTTTACCTTTCTGTGTATTTAAAAAAAGAAATCCTTCTGGGGTTTTTTTAAATAGTATTTTCATGTGGTTTCTTCTAGATAAAATATACGTGGGATCATGTTTTATTATTCATTCTGACAATATCTACTTTTCATTTATCTACTTTTCATTGGTGTATTTAGACCATTTGCATTTAGTGTAAATATTGATATGTTCAGATGTATGTCTTCCATTTATTATTTGCTTTTTGTTTGTTCCCTCTTTTTTATTCCACTGTTTGCCCTTTCCTGCCTTCTTTTAGATAATTTGACTTTTTTAGTATTCCATTCTAAATTCTTTATTGGGATTTTTACCATGTCTTTTGGTAAATTATTTTTAGTGGTTGCTCTTGGGATTACAGTATACATACTTTACTTTTCACAGTCTATTTAGGATCATATTTTAGTACTTCAAGTGGAATATAGAAAACTTACTGCTACATAAGTCCCTTTAACCATTCCACTTTGATTGTGTTGTCATATGTATTATATCAACATGTGATCATTTTCAACTGTCATCTATAATAATAAAAGCATAATATGCTAATTAGACTGGACGTTCTCCTGGGCATTCTCCTGGACAACCTTCCAGACAAAACCGGGGCTGCGAGGGAAGCCCGGGTCCCAGGTGCCAGAGGGAAGCTGGTTCTGGCAGCTGGGAGAAGAAAGGCCTACTCTTGCACGAATTTCATGCATCAGTCCTCTGGTGCATATATATTTAAAATTTAAGATGAAAAATTGTCTAAAATATTAATACATATATTTACCAGTTCTGTTGCTCTCCCTTCATTCCTGATATTCCGAGTTTCCCTCTTGTATTAATTATTGCTCTCGCATCTGAAGATATTCCTTTAACATTTCTTTTACATCAAGACTATTATGCAATGAATTTTCTTAGTTCTCCTTTATCAGAAAATGTATTTCACCTTTATTTTTGATGTATATTTCTAGATATGGAATAATGGGTTGATAATTCTTCTCCCCAACCCCCAGCACTTTATTTTTTATTTTTTTTATTGATTTCTGAGAGGAAGGGAGAGAGAGATAGAAACATCAGTGATGACAGATAATCATCAATCGGTTGCCTCCTGCGTACCTCCTATTGGGGATCGAGCCCGCAACTGGGGCATGTGCCCTGACTGGAATCAAACCATGATCTCCTGGTTCATAGGTCAATGCTCAACCACTGTGCCACACCAGCTGGGCCACCAGTACTTTAAAAATGTTATTTTATACACTTTTGACCTGCATGGTTTCTGTTGAGAAATCCAGAGTCATTCAAATCATTGCTTCCTTGTGTGATGAAATGTGTTGTTTTCCTTGTTTGCTTTCAAGATTATTTGTCTTTAGTTTTCAGGAGTTTGATGATGGTATACGTGGCCATAGATTTCTTAGAATTTAACTTGTTTGGGGTTCATTGAGTTTCTTTTTTTCCAATTTTATTTTATTTTAATTTCTTTATTGATTAAGGTATTATATATGTGTCCTTATCCCTCCATTGCCCCCCCCCCGACTTATGCCCTCACCCCCTGTTGTCTGTGTCCATTGGTTAGGCTTATATGCATGCATACAAGTCCAGTTTCTTGAATCAGTAAGGTGTGTCTTTTCCAAAATTTGGGAGCTTTTCAGACATTATTTTTTAAACATTTTTCTCTTCTTTTAGAATTCTGATGATACGAATGTTTTTGCTCCACAGGTGGTTTCTTATAATGTTACAAACAGATAGGTTTTATCATGTATGTCTGTTTACTTCTCCCCAGCCCCCCAAACAGCTTTTTTCACACTAATGTAAATTTCAAACAATCTGTTTGGGAAAGATTTAAATAAACCGAAATGGTTGCAACTGGCTTATTGGTGACTAAGGTTTAGGGAGTCAAAAATGACCCATCATGAGTTACATTTATTTAACATTTAGAACTTTAAGGTAAAAATATATCATATGTTTTTTTCTGTTTTCTATAGAAAAGAAACATTTGTTTGCATAGGAATTCATGAGGGTGACCCAACCTGGCAAAAGAACTATTCACTTTGGCCATGGGGCTCTTGTGACAAATTGGTTCCTTCAGAGATCGTATTCAACCCTGAGGAGTGGATTAAACTTACAAGAAATATCTATAACTGGACTGAAGAATATGGACGGTACGAATAGAGTAATATTTTTTATCAGAGTATAGCAATTTGTGTGCCTAAAAAAACACTCTTTTGAGATGCCTTTAAATTTTTGGATATTTTCTATTTTTATTAGTTATTAATATAGTCATTTGCTGCCCACGGAGTATCATAATAGAGAAGGAGAATATGTATTTCTTGTCCTCATGTTTGAAGAACAATGGGACAATGGAAGGGAAAGGGAGGTTGTGGTTGAGTGGACATAATAGTTAGATGCATGGAACTCCTGTAATGCATATTGTCTGCCAGCCTGTATCTCATATCCTTAAGGTGGAAAAGATTCATTAACTACGGCTGAGCTTTAAAAGTCACTCTGGGTCCTAGCCAGTGTTGCTCAATGGTTATAGAGTTGGCCGTCTCTGGTTGTGGGTTCCATTCCCAGTCAACGGCATGTACCTGGGTTGCAGGTTCAATTCCTAGCCTGGTCGGGGTGGGTGCAAAAGGCAACCAATTGATGTGTGTTTCTCACATTAATGTTTCTCCCTCTCTTTTTCTCTATTCTCTCGCCCTCCCTCCCTCTCTCCCTCTCTCCCTCCCTCCCTCCCTTCCACTCTCTCTAAAAGAAATGGGAAAAATATTCTCAGGTGAGGATTAACAAAAAGAAAGTCACTCTGTAGCATGTAATAGTTTCCACATCATACAGTGGTCATATTTCTCTTTCTTCTAGAGTGGCAGCTAACTTCTCTATAGGGAAGACTGGGACTTGAAATTTTCTTCACAATTGTTTATGTTGTTTTGGGCATGGCTACTCTTCCTTGAAGCAACTTTCTCCCATATGGAAGCTGAGTCACCATCTAAAGAAAGGTGCCTCCATTGCCTATGTTTAAAATATGAATTATTTAAAGATTAGATAATTATTGCTTATAGTTCCAGGACAACAGGCAAGAATCATATGAAAAATGCTCTAAAGGATTTTTTAATCAAATTGAGCAAACGGACCACATTGCTGTGCATGAACCAGAGATGGGTAGGTAGGTCTACATCAGAGCACTCTGAGACCACCGTGGGGAGAAGATAGAAAATAACCTCTTCTGTAAACAGCTGATGACAGTACAGTACAAGGACACAACATAACTCATCTTCGTTCAGTCAAAATGGATACATAAGAGAACGTTTAATTAAGAGAAAGAAAGAAAATCAGTAAATAGTTTAGCCAATGTTCCTTGAGCAGCATCTAGCTCCAGCAGTGATGTAGCAAAGCCAGGAGGCCCTTCTCTTCAGGCCTGTCCCTTGCTTCCCAGCTCGTTGGCTCTTAGCTGTGTCCATAGAGTGGCTGAGGCCTTAGCCCTGCCCCTTTGCCTGGCTGACAGTGACAGTTCTTAGAACAGCTGGCTCCCTAAATGCCTCTAGCCTCTTCCCACCAATCCTTTGTTTGCTCCCATGAGGCACTGGGGCCCATTATGCAGATTAAGAACACATTTACCAAAATTTCAAATTGCTAACAATCCACCTTTTCTAGGAGAATAGGTTTTTTTATTTCAGTCTCTATTGGTACATCAAGATCCAGTCTATATTTTATTTTTTTATCCTCCCCCGAGGATATTTTTTCCATTGATTTTATTTTAGAGAGAGTGAAAGGGAGGGAGGAGGAGGGGAGAGAGAGAGACACCTACTGATTGCCTCCTGCACGAGCCCCTATTGGGGGTGGGGTGCAAAGCTGAAACCAAGATACGTGCCCTTGACTGGGAATCAAACCCGAGACCCTTTGGGCCACAGGCCGACACTCTAAACCACTGAGTAAACCCATCCAGGGCAAGATCCAGTCTATTTCATTTGCCTTATAAGATTATAAAAGATTACATGTCCATAGCAATATATGTGGTTGGCAGAAAAACGTTACTGTTTTCTTGTAACTACAGGTTTGATCCATCTTCTTGGGAATCTGTGGCCAATGAGGAGATGTGGCAAGCAAGGTGACTAATCTGCACGTCTGTGTTTGCGGCCTGTTGTTAACATGGCAGAGAAGTAGCCTGTGGCACTTTTCATTGAGGAAACGGGGGTGGGTGGTGATAATAAAAATGACATTTATGGGCAATCATTTTGTTTGAGGCAGTGTACTAGTCATTATGATGAGTAACCTCATTCATCCTCACAACAACCTATCTGAAAGTTATTACTATCTCCATTTTACAAAAGACTACATTGGAGGTGGAGAGGGTGCTTGTCCAAGGCCACTTAGCTGCTAGTGCCCATCTGACGCGGACCCGCACCACTCCTGTCCTCTCCCGCCTCAGCTAAGCCAGAGTGAGTGTGATGGAGAAGTTGATAATGACCGTGCCCACGTGTAATGTTCTAGTTAATTACTTAGGCACGTATTGCATACTTCCCAGAAGCCAGGCATTGTGCCAGGCACAGAGACTGCACACACGAATACGACACAGTCCCTACCCTCGAGCTGCTCAGACTATGGAGCAATCAGATACATTAAAAGAGATCTGAATATGAATGTGCTCCGTGCTGTACATTTCTGTTCTTCCTGTATGGAACGCTTCATGGTGACGCTATTGATTCTCTTGGTTCCTGTCATTTAAAAATAATTCAAACTCCCTAATGCTAACAGACTTTGGCCTAAATATTAATGTAAACGTTCTAAATGATACAGATGGGGGTCCCATGTACACAGGACGTACTTCCTGCTGCAAAGGCAGGAAGCTCACTCCGGGCCAGGGACTGTGCTTTGCACTGAGGCTTGACTTAGGGTGTATAAAGGGTTTACTTATAAGTTTAAAGAAGTTTAAAAAAAATTGTCAAGAAATCCAGCTCCAAATTAACAATTTTAAAAATAGATATACTATAGTTTATGCAATAGTGTTTATGAAAATATCAGAAAACGGCATATTTCAAGTTATCAGCCTAGTTATAAAGACAAATACTTTGAAGAACTGAACAAAGATATACCATATGTTTGCACAATTCTTCTCTATGATTGAATGCAGGAAAGCTGGGGGAGCAGTCACATAAAAGAAGAAAGCAGGTTATTATTCGGTTGGGTGTTGATTTAATTGGTGTGCTGAATACAATTTGGATGAGTTCGCGTGGTCAAAGCGTGCAGCCACCTTTGAGGAGCTGGTCACACACGGCCTGAGCCATTGCGACGGGCACCAAACTCAGCAAGTCCCCCGCTCCCTGCTTCTCTTGCATAACAATAGTGCACATCTTGGTGGGAAATGATGTATAATAGTGATGATGAACATAGCTTTTTTCTAAAAGATCTGGCAATCAGTGTGAAAGCAGCGTCTTGGCATTTGGGGGAATAAGGGATTAATGTTGGTGCAGAGTAAACATTTGAATCTTAGAGAAGTAAAAGTGATGCAATAAAGGGTTTTGTATGTTCTTTATCAGTGGAAAAGTCTGGCAGATAAATTTGAAATTGACAGCATGATTTTAATGAAGTGTTTTCCCCTCACCCTTCCAGGATGAAAACACCGTTCTTCATTTTTAACCTGGCAGAAACTGTAAATGTGCCTTCAAATGTGAAAGCTCAACTCTACACTCACGCATATGACGTATGGTATACTTCTACATATATCAGTATATTAGAGGCCCGCTGCACAAAATTTGTGCACTTGGGGGGAAGGGTCCCTCAGCCTGGCCTGCACCCTCTCGCAGTCCGGGAGCCCATGGGGAGCGGGCCTAAGCCGTCAGTTAAACATCTTTAGCCCTGCCGCAGAGGTGGGAGAGTCTCCTGCCACCGTCGCTGCGCTTGCCAGCCATTAGCCCGGCTTTTGGCTGAATGGCGCACCCTGCCATGGGAGCGCACTGACCACCAGGGGGCAGATGCTCAATGCAGGAGCTGCCCCCGGTGGTCGGTGCATGTCATAGCAACCAGTTGTTCCACCTTTTGGTTGATTTGCATATTACCCTTTTATTATATAGGATTTGGTGGGAGGGTGGAAGTTGTTGGGATGGAGAGAGGGTGTGTCACAGAGTTTTTACTTTTTAGTTTCCAGCTTTATTTGCCATTATAAAGCAGTGTAAATGGAAAAAATACTCATGTATCACAAATAATACTAAAGTAAATGGCTGTCATTGGCAAAATAATGGTTCCCCTGAAGATGTCCAGAACCTGTGACCTTCCGTGGTGGCGGGGACGTGGCAGAGGTGGTGGAGGATCTGGAGGTGGGGAGATTATCCTGGATCATATCCAGGTGGCCTAGTGTCCTCACAAGGGTCCTTATGAAGAGGGAGGCAGGAGGGTCAGAGTCTGGGAAGGAGATGCGACAGTGCAGGCAGAGGTCAAAGAGGAAGATCTGAAGATGCTAGGCAGGTGGCCTGGGAGATGAGGAAGGGACCACAATTAGGGAGTACAGGCAGCCTCTGGATGCTGGAAAAGGCAAAGAAACGGGTTCTAGAGCCTGCTGATTTTACAGTTCCCTTGATTTTATGACTTTTGACCTCCAGAAGTGTAAAATGATAAATTCATATTGTTTTATGCCACTATATTGTGGCGATTTGTTACCATAGTAATGGGAAACTAACTTTATTTAGAAAAGAAGTTCTTGCCAAACCGGTTTGGCTCATTGGATAGAGCATCGGCCTGCGGACTGAAGGGTCCCAGGTTCGATTCCGGTCAAGGGCATGTACCTTGGTTGTGGGCACATCCCCACTGTGGGGGTGCAGGAGGCAGCTCCTCCAGAAGTGTAAAATGATAAATTCATATTGTTTTATGCCACTATATTGTGGTGATTTGTTACCATAGTAATGGAAAAAAAAAAAGAAAAGAAAAGAAGTTCTGGCAGGCCACCCTCTATTGCAGGAGTCATGACCCTGCGACACTTGAAACGACAGGCCATGGCTGGTGGAGATTTCATGAGAAAGATGAAGGGGAAGAGCTTAGCTTTGTCTTCTGACTGTGGTCCCAGGAAGCCAAACAAACGTTGAGACCCAACCACACTAAGGGTCTTAGTAGAATTTTGAAAACTTGATGAAGTAAAGAACAGGAACAGTTCCTGAGCGCTTGCTCTGTGCTGGGGAGTGTGCCCCGCCCTCTCCATGTGTCCCTCATCAGAGGGAGGATCAGGAAGAGAGTAGGAAGAGGAAAAAGACTATGGGGAAAGGTAGAAAACAATGCCAAGCGAATGAAAGGGTGGAGGGCAGGCCCTGGCTGGGTAGCTCAGTTGGTTAGAGAGTTGTCCCAATATACCAAGGTTTCGGGTTTAATCTCTAGTCACAGCACATACAAGAATCAACCAATGAATTTATAAATAAGTGGAACAACAAATCTCTCTCAAATCAATAAATTAAACAATTTTAATTTAAATTAAAAAAAAGAGAAAGAGTGGGGGTTTAACTTCCTACTTATTTTTGGTGTATTTGAAAGTATATTCATGAAAGTGCGGGATAACTTTCCTGTTTTGTGAAGTGAAGGAAACTTCGGGGGGAATTGCTTTAAAAAGCAACTTAAACACTGAGTATTATAAAATGTCAAAATGGCATATCATGCATGGATTGTGGTACTTTTCATGTGGATGCTATTTAAAAATAAATTAGAAATGCATTTGTCTGCTCTAGAGTAGGCATTGGGGAAATAGGTAATATATTGGGTTCCTTTCAAGTGAGTGATATGGTGAATACAGTCGTAATTCAGAAAGCACTTGTCCCTAGAGAAAACATGGTTGCTGTTCTGAGCTCTCATGGAGTCTTCTGTAAACTCAAGTTCCTATGGATCCCACTCAAACTTGACAATCCCAGGAAGGCTGAAATTCCCATGCAACAAGTGTAATCTTCCATTTTGCAGATATATATCTACTTTTGTAAAATTTCCATGGTTTTCCACCAGAAAACTATCCAAAAAAAGTCCAACTCTGTTTAATTACTACTACCTCTGGTGTTGAGAAATAAAATTTCTAATTCCTGTGGGCAAAGTTTTCACGATCAAAATTGTAATTATAGGATACTATGAAGATTTTTAATGTTTCATTCTAAAGATATCTCTTAAAGGCTATTATGCTTGGCCTGTTCAATGCTGGGTTTGTTTTAATATTGCTATTGTTATTACTGTTGTTTTAAATGTAGAGAGATATTTATGTAAAAATGAGGGACAAAATTTAAATTCCTTCAAGTTCTTTTCCCATGCAGTTTTCTAAAGAAAGCTATATTTTTTTCTCCAACAGCTAAATTTAGAGTTTCAACCTTTCTGCCTAGTGAGTAAATAGCTTTCCATGAATTAGAACTAAATCTCTTTCCCGGAACATCTTTCTGCGGGAAGAGCATTTGTCCTGACGCAGTGTGTCCTAGGTTTCCTCTGCAACATCTGAAAAACCCCAGAAGCAGTTTTAGACGAAGCACATTTGCCTCCTGCCACTGCAGTAATTACAGTAGCCTCCTTGCATTTTCTGCATGGCCTGGCAACGATTAGATTTCTACCGCAGGCTGCTTGGATTTTTTTTTTCTTGTGTTATTAATTCTTCTGTTTTCTGGTGTTTTTGGGGGGGAAAGTAAAGAGATAAGAATGAAATACCATCATTTTTCTGTCTTCCAGCTTTATAAGGAGATTGTCTATTTACAAAAGGAACACCCAGTGAATTGGCATAAGAACTATGCCATCGCCTGCGAGCGGATGCTGCACCTTCGGGAAGGAGGCGCAGACCCTGAAGTCTTGTTATCGGAAACCATCAGACATTTCCGCCTCTACACTCAGAGAGCGCAGAATGACCCGCAGCTGGCTGATATTTCAGCCGCTCTAAAGCACCTAAGAAAAGAACTGCAGAGTCTGAGAAATAGGAAAAATGCCTGAGACAGCAAAATGTGGAAAACCTGCTTGTCATCCTGCTTCCAAATTTTTGAGGTCCAAAACTTTTTCTTCAGAGAAAAGAAACTGATAAAAAATTGAAGACTTAAGTCACTTCCCAGATAGAAGTAATTGGGAGGGTTGGGGGTGGGGTGGTTGTGACTGAATTGTGCTGTTTATACAAAATCTGTTTATCCCCTGTCCCCAAGTTAGCATTTCAGGGAGAATCTTCCGAACATCCTTCCCACTTTCGCAACTTTTCACCTAATGATGTTGCTCCATTAGATTCTAAAAGAGAATGGACTCTATTCATATACTTAAAATATTGACTGTGCATCTTTTAAGGTCCCTGCTTATTGGGATCAGTTTTGAAGGTTAAATTCTTCAAACATTAATACCATACCAAAGACATTTTCTGTTTCCCAAAAGTGGCTTTAAAAAAACCCCACAAAAAAGTGAATCTTGTTTTGCTGCAAGTCAGAATTCTTTTATTTTTTTTATTTCTTATTAGCTGTGGTTGTTACATAATCTCCTGTTTCAAGCTAAACACCAACCGATGATATTTTGAAAAAAGTTGGGGTTTTATTGTCTTAGGCAATTCTCTGAAAGCACTGAAAAATAAAGCTAATTCACTGTTTGCTTTTTTCCAGTCGTGTAAACTGGTTGGCCAGTAAAAAGAATTTTTTAATTCCTTAATTAATTTTATATTTATGTTTTGCTTCTGTTTGTGCTCATAAATCTGGGCCCAATAATTAGTAGGCTCCTGCTGCCAAAATGCAAAAAAAAAAAAAAAGAAGAAGAAGAAGAAGAAGAAGGCGGGGATTCGAGGGGGAGGATGGGGAAATGGTTCAATAAATTCATTTTTGTTACAAGGATCTTTTATACATATTACTAAAGAGAACATAGTAAGAAATGCAAATAATGGTTCTTTATTTTATTATGACAGTTAATTAATAGCAACCTGTTTTAATGAATAAAGTCACTCAGAGTCCTTCAGCACTTCCTAAGTAGAGGCCCGAATCCGTAGGGATTCTTTTCCCCCCGATTGTATAGCTCCGAGACTCCGAGCACTATATAGGCCCCTGTATAGAAATGCTCACTAATGAAGAGGGAGGGCTAGAAGCTTGTCTGCATTCAAAGATCACTGGTGAGTCATTCAGCAAGAAAAGGCCCCTTACCAGGAATAGTCACAGTTCCGTGGCATTGTACTAGCAAAAGGGTCTGATCAAAGGTCTCCCGTGGAGCTTGCATGGTTCCCTTTCATACTACGACCATAATTAAAACCACTAATTCTCTTTTAAAATGCTGCAGGATGCCATGTAGGCATCTGTCTGGAGTGTCCTTTGTGATGTCATAAGCTGTTAAGGACCAGCGCCGAGGGCTTTTGAGTGAAATGCCAGTCATGAAGGTGCTTCAAGACAAGGGTGCCTCTAAAAGCTTGACAGGGCCTTGACTGCACAATTCGAGCTGAATTTGCCCCTTGTCAGCTGCCAGTAAATAAATCTCAAAGGGGGAAAAGCTGAAGTTTCATTACCTGATCCATGGGGCTTTGTTGGTTTTGGCACCACACAGGGGAAGCTCTTGCCCCTCCATTCTCTGGATTTGAAGATGTCCATTGGAGCCTGCAGTGCCTGGACAGGGTTCAGAGCGGAACCTTTTGAAGAGTGTCAATAGTTGTAACAGTTCAGCTGTTAGGAAGACAAATAAATGGAGGAGCTCATTAATCCGCTTTTGGCTCTCAGTGCCTTTTGCCCTTTTATCACAGCCTTATTAGGCTCCTACTCATCTTGAACCAGAAAAAAATGAATTGAAGTTGTTGAGTACTAATTGGCAAAGACTTTTAATCATGGGCCAAGAACTTTCACTGACTTGAAAGTAACTTCTCCACAGGGAGGAACCGAAAACCTGGTTTACCTTAAAACAAAAACCTGTTGGAGTTCAGCGTGGTGTGAAAATTTAAGGAAGCATTGGCAAATTGTCTAAGTTTACCCATTTGAAAGAAATTATGTAAGATTATGATTTCCACTTTTCTAAAATCAAGTATAATAAAAATCATAAACGTTCCCTAGAAATGCATTGTCTTTATTGGTTCAGAAAAGAGATTGCATACATGAGATGATCATGTCTGTTTCTGAACATCTATATGTACATGGATGTAAATCTTTGAGCATCTATACATATATGTGGTATTGAAGGAACCTTATTAAAAGTAGTATTTCCTACTTAGAGCCTTAAGAATGGCCAATGAAGGCATTTTCCTTTTTGAGCATATCTGCTTTTTCAATTTGTCTGTACGCTAGATATGTATATCTAGATATGTACATATATGTATATCTGACTGTGCTTTGTGTATTGACCATTGTCAAATGGTGTGCAGATTTTTCTATATTTGTCCAACAATGACGTTGGACCACTCCCTCTTTGAGAAAGCAATGATATGATGGCCCAACATAGATCCATTGCGTGAGGTTAAACAAGTTGCTTGCTTTTTCTCTCTCTCTCACTTTCCTTGGCTGGTGCACAGTTGGGCCTCATTCCCAGACCAACTACCTTGGAGAATCCTTTCTCTCCATTGCGTGAGGTTAAACAAGTTGCTTGCTTTTTCTCTCTCTCTCACTTTCCTTGGCTGGTGCACAAACACCATAACATCTGACAGAACGGGTTTCCTTCAGTCCAACCCCCGACGTGGAAGACAATGTGAAGAGGTGACTTCTCATGCGGATTTGGCCAGCGTTTTCCTAGCAGTGTCCCCGGAGTGCCAGGGGTTGGCAGGGCGACAGGAACCCCACAAGGCCAACTTCTGCCTGGACTTTGGCCTGAGGAGCCAGTGGGAGCCAGCAAAACTGTCTGCCTGTCCACATGCTGCTGTGCCCTGCTGCCCGGCCCGGGGCTGGCACACACCAGGGCGAGTGGAGAAGGGGCTGTGCGGCCCGTGTCCAACAAACCTCCTCCCCTGCCCTGTTCCTGCTGACGGGAGCTGTGCTTGGTTCTTGCTGTTGACTTTGGGTCCTTATTAAAGGACCCATTTTTTTTAAATGCTTTTGTTCTATTACAATGCAGCCAAGATAGAAGGGAATCAATTACTAGTGTACTCTTTTGAAATCCTCAAATAGAAATGAGGAAGTGTTATTTCTGTCCATATTCTTAGTATTTTCTGGTGATAGAACCATGATGTTTAGCCTTTATGATAATTAAATACAGCCCATTTTGAGTGCCAGGGTATGTTTGATACCTTAATGATAGGGTATAAAGAGTGGTTTTCTTAATTTATATTTTAAAGGTTAAATCATGTGAGTCCTTAATCATAGTTCCCACCAGTATTTCTCAGAATTTAAAAATGTTAGTACTTTTAATACTAAGGAAAATAATACCAAAGATGGGGGGGGGGGGGATGGAACCTGTTACAGTAAATCCTTTTCCTCTGTTTTAATCCTGGTGTATTTTACAAATGCACCAAGATGGGTTATTACTTAAAATTCTGTTCTAACTGGTTCCAAGTTGTTTGGTAGCTAAAGAAAATATTCCCACCCATAAGAGATCACACTGCTTTTGTTCATTCTCATTTTGTTGTGTAGGCAAAACCATTCTAAGACTTATACTCGCAAACAAATAAGGAATGTTTCCAGGGATTCTGGGAACATCTAAAGGCCAGGATCTTGGCACAGCATTACAGAGCAAACAGGGAGCTGAAGCTTTGAGCAGCGGTCATATTCGATGAAGACGTCATTGTCAGTACCATCTAAAGGTCTGTTTGGTTTGGATCACATGGGTGGTGTAAAAAGGCCTTGGGAAGAGCAGTGTGCTTACCTGGATATAGGAAAGTAAACAAGTAGGACTATAGCTTGAGAAAGGGATTTTTCTGAAGAAAAAAAAATCTGATTGCTTTTCAACGATGTAACATATATTTGATGGAAATTGTATGTCCGGGAAAGATTAGCTTATGTCATATAGGAAACAAACAGAAAGGTGGGGAGGATGGGTAGAAGTTCCAAAACTGTAACCATGAAACCCACAATTATTGACCTTTCTATACGCAGTTATCCAGGTCTTTTCCACAATCCTACATATTACTGGTGAGGCTTTTCGGTAATATAAATAGCGTCAAGTTGGTAAGGTTGAGAAAGTTTCAAGATACAGATAAAAAACACACAGGCAAATAATTGCCCCACGTTCCCATCCAAGTGACCCAACTTCACAGAGCACCCAAGTGATATCACGTCTTTTTGTACATAGCTGTCATTAGATGAAGATAATGTTAAATAAGGTCTAATGAAAGATAAGCAGAAATAAGCCAGATTTAAGATTTAATAATTTTGTTTAGATTTTTAAAAATCCTCACCCAAGGATATGTTTATTGATTTGAGAGAGAGAGAGAGAGAGAGAGAGAGAGAGAGAGAGAGAGAGGTGAGAGAGAAAAGCATTGATCAGTTGCCTCCTATATGCTCCCCGAATCAAACCAGCAACCTAGGTATGTGCCCTGACCAGAAATCAAACTCACAAACTTTTTGGTGTATGGGATGATGCTCCAACCAACTGAGCCACCTGACCAGGGCTAGAATTTCTTACAAATCTGTATAAATAGTATTGGAGGGAAAAGTAGGATTGATGGAGTACAATCTTTATATTGTTAAGTTTATTAAATATCATAAACTAATAAATGGAGATTATGTCCTGTTTTTTAAAATATACACACAAACCACAATTATTTTCTACTTAGAAGTATTACTGGGAAAGGGGTTATTTTGTAATGTAACCTTTTAAAGAAGATACTTTGAGATTTCTCTCATCTACATGAAATAGTCCTGATGGTTGAACCATTGAAAATATCCCTAACCCTTGTGGCTGTTGCTTATATACAAAAGTGTGTGTGATTACAGAAAGGGAACACTGCTTGGGAAATCAGACCCAGCTTTCTCATCCTTGGATTATGGTATGATGGGACCTAAGAGAAGCACCTATTACCTTAGACCCTTGAGCAGTGGTTCTCAACCTTCTGGCCCTTTAAATACAGTTCCTCATGTTGTGACCCAACCATAAAATTATTCTCGTTGCTACTTCATAACTGTAATGTTGCTACTGTTATGAATCGTAATGTAAATATCTGATATGCAGGATGGTCTTAGGCGACCCCTGTGAAAGGGTCGTTCGACCGCCAAAGGGGTCGCGACCCACAGGTTGAGAACCGCTGCCCTTGAGTCTCATCTAAGACACAAGAGGTCCCAGTAACACCAGTAAATGGCATGCCAAGACTTAACTCAAGAAGTGCCACAGAGGGCCCATCGAGGATTTGAGGACAGAGTGAAGGATTCGAGGACTACAATCTTCTTACAGTATCTTCCATCAAAATAGAGAGAGGAAGGAAACATTATATAATTTTGTATTAATAATACATGTGTAATTAATAATTGTATTATTGACGGTGCTTTTAAAAGTTAATGTTTAAAAAGTCAAGGACTCTTTTGAAATACTCTAACTAAAACTACAGAAACTTTAAAATGGGTTGTTTATAAACAGAAGATAATCCACTTAGCAGAACACTAGGGTTCCTTTGATTGGAGAGTACTTATACTTAGAGGTTATTTTTATTTAATGCATCATAATTTTTCTCTAAAATTATAGCATATTTCTTCAATATGTGGACTAGTATCTATACCATTTTTATAACTTTTCTCAGTGATCAGAATTTTGACCATTAACCTATGTGATCACCTGCACTCACTTGGCAGCAGGTCCTCAAAGTGCAGGATTGTGCCTGGCTGTGGTGACTGTCAAATGGGTTCAATTTAGTGGAACTTGAACAGGTTTTCTTAGTGAACTAAAATAATAAAATAATGCATCTGAGGTAACAAGGGTAAATATTGCTTCATGAAACTCATTTCATATATGTGTATGTGTGTGTGATTGTTTGTGTATACTACA